TTTTACAGACATTAATTGCAAAGCCAGATAGTTTTGCAGCGTAAATAGGTAAAGTCTTCAAGATGAAGACACTCAGCAAATGCCAGAAGTTTTCACTCTGCGTATCCAGATTCAGACTGAAGGCAGTAGGGTCATCTAATCTGATTTCCTGTGTATCATACTCACAGAATGTGAATCAAATTACTCTTAGGACCATAACTCGGGTTTGACTAAAGCAAGTCTTTCTCTGAAAGGCATCAGGCCTAAGATGAAAGCCTTAGAGAGAGGGAATCTGTCACCTCCCTCATAACTTCATTCTGCCTTAGAATTGCCCTCACTTTAAAGAAATTTTGATCACAAGTTTGTTTATATTCAGCTAATCATGTTCTTCCCCATTAGACTAAAGAGCCTGCAGAGCTTTTGTCCCTATGGAGATACTCAGATTATACGAAACCATCTTTCGACCTTTTTTTTTTTTTCTCCTTTCTTTTAATACCCTAAGGAAGGCTGAGCTCCTTTAAGACTCTCACTGTTAGGCTTTTTCAGCTCTTGACACTATGGAAAAGACTTTTCTCTGCTTTTGGTCCCATATTTTAATGTTGATACTAAAGATACATATTGTATGCCAGTATCATCTCTCTGCTGCCATGGAGAAACAAGAATACTCCCCCCCCCCTTCCCTACTTGCTGCTTCTCTGATTGATTAAAATGCATAGGACAATATATGGGGCCAACTGACATAGGGGTATAGCTTGCTGTTTGCCTGGCCTACCCTCTGCTTTGCTGGTGATATGTTAAAAATTTACCTGAGATCATTGGATGCATTTTTCAAACTCTAAAAAAGGCCCAGGAGGATGAAATGCTGAACACTATAAAGGAACAGAAAGAGGGAGGCTACAGAGGGAACTGGTGTGTGTTTAAATACAGAACCTGTTCTGCCATCATTATCGTAAAGATGGAGAAGAGCCTGCAATAAGTGAAGCTTGTCTCTCAAATAAGAAAACTGTCATTAAGACATTAGAACTGACATGACTGACATTAAGAAAAATCAGACAGACAGATTTCTAGCTTTTCTTTTCAACATGACCTTCTCAGCAAACCTGGGCCAGGAAGATACAGGATAAGCACTGTCATAAATCCAGTATTTTGTTAGTTGTTAAGGCTGGAAATTATTAGCCCTATAGGTAAAATATCCCTTCGCCTTGGAAAAGAGCTTTCATTTCCAGTGCCAAAGTCAATTCAATTCAGACAATTTCAGATACTCCTGAAGAGAGGACTCAGGACATTCCTCCCCTTGGGAAACTTGGAAAGCAGGACTCATTGCACAGAGACAGCTTCCCAACTCTGCAAACTCATATGAAATGAAAGCTGTACTGATTAGATTTTTATATAAGTACCAAAAATTCCTTGAAATGCCTTTTTTTTTTCTTCAAAATAAATGGTCCCATCATGGCATGGTGGGATGGAAAAGCTTGACGCGTATTCTTTGGGGTATGCGTTTAGCCTAGCTGATGTACATGGAAGCTTAGGCCAGAGCAGTTTCCTGAATTTAATCGTGGCTGTGGGCAGGCAGAGTATTTGGGTGGTAGCAGTCTTTCGCCTTACAAAGGACAGACTGCTAAAAGATTTCTTTTTCCCCTTGCAACGAGGCTGCCGACACTGGAGCTGAAAATAAATCAACATGACGACTGTGTGAAGAGCTGGGCAGTGAAAAATTCTACCAGAAAGGCCTCTATTGAAAGCTGAGAAATACACAAAGCTTGGGGAACATTAGGAAGCAAGCCTGCTGGTTTATAGAAGTGCAGTGGGGGCATACATCTCTGGTCTCTACAATATTGGTTTATATTAAGCTTTATTTTAAGAGTGATGATTACATTGGCTGGGTTTCAGTCTCTGTGCCAAAGATGCCAAATAAATATCAAATACTCTCCAGGGCTTCCCTCCACCCCTACCCACTGCATTTGAACCATGCAAATTAGACAGAATTGACATTGGAATGCTTATGGCTGGGAGAGAACGACGCATTTCCCATCCTTGGGGCATTTTTATCCTGTTTATATGAATACAGACATGCTAGGCATATACTGCTAATTCAATGGGTTACAGAATATTCAGCGTGCAGGCACTCAGCCACCAGCCGGATCTGTAAGGTCCAAATGCAAAGTTAAAACCATATGGGTTCACAAGCAGTCCATACTGAAACCAAGAGGCACAGAGGTGCCACCCAGGAAGTGTTTTGTCTTGGGTAGCTAAAGACGGCACTGCTTCCTTCTACATTTTGAAGAGGAAAGCAGGGGATCAACATCACTCCCAATACATTGGAGCAACACCCACGGAAGTAACACATGCACAGAAGCACCTCCATCTCTAGGCCCCTGTGAAGACAAGCACAGTATTTGATGTGGCATCCCTGCATGCTAAACTAACTCCAACTCCTTTTATAGTTGGGAGAATCCAGAAGCATAGAAGCCTTGCCTAGCCGAGGCAGTATAGATCTTCTAAGTCCATCACAGTCCGTTCCCAGCGGCCTGTCCTGCCACAGCACTGCGGCTGCTGGACTAAGGGGATTTGCTGTTATCAAGCAGAAGGGGGAGACAAGACCTCAGCTTTTCTCCAGTTCCCCAGAAATGCAGACTTCTGCCCACCTCTCGCAAGAGGCTTGACCTGCTGCTCCTTCCAAGAAGGATGAACAGGCAGCTGGTCAGAGGGGAGGGCCATGAAAAACAGCTCCTCTCCTCATCTGCAGCCTGGCTTCCGCCCCACAGCAAAACCACAGCGCTGGTACTGCCAAGAATTCGATTCGCATTCTTCACTCCCTGTGGTAGCCACTAGGCCACACGGTCTCCTTCAATCCATTTGCATTTTATTAGGTCTTTTCATGCACCAGGGGACAAAAGAACAAGCCACTTCCTCCCACTGAGCTCTCATTTCACACTTCAAATGGGCTATACTAACCTTTATGGTGGAGCAGCTGCCAGGGAGGAGGGGCGGGAGGCGGCAGGCAGGGCAAGGATGACAGGATAGAGCGTCTGATGATGCAGCCTCAGCTCCTCTCCCAGCAACCCAGAGGAACCCAAATCAGAGCAGAGCAACACCTTTCCCTCCCACTCCCACCTCAGGGGCGCCCAGAGCTCTGCAGCCACCTTGGTGGCGTTCAGCCCAAGCGCTTTCTGGACTCACCTCCCACCCCCAGTAGGTGCTGCTGAGTTAATAGCCTGTACCATGTCCGTAGTCAGAGCATCAAGTAAGCTGGTAATGAATTCAACTTTCTTCCCTTCTGGGCAGCCTGCAGAAAGAAAAGAGGAGGTTTAATGCAACAACACACAGGATTGGTCTCCTACCCCAGTTCAGCAAGGATCAGCCAGAACTTCCTTTGTTTGTAACATGGCAGCCCTCATCAGTCCCTAAGGAAAGGCAGAAGAATCCCTCAGTGGGTTTCTCTGTGTGGCAATTTGTCCTGCAGCTTTTGTCCAGGCACACGCAGGGTCACCAACAATATCTGGCAGGAAAACCGTGTGGTTAGCTTTATGGCCTCTCCCAGTTCCCTACCAGCATAACCACAGGGATGTGCTGGAAGTGCCTGGCAGACAGAGTTCCCATGGCGACACTTGCAGACAAGTTTACAAAACAGCTTGTTACCTCCTGGGTCATCTTCCTCTGCAAACATGGCTGTTCTGAGGTCCTGACTGACAGCTTAAAGCTTCCCAAAGCATGGGCCAAAGCGAGCGCTGCTGCTTGCACTCTCCTCTTCAGGCACAGAGAGCATTGCCTGCCAGCAGCTACCACAATAATTCAGTTCTTTGCATGATCAGACTGCATGGGAAACACGTCAGTCTAAGTCAACACGTGGTAATTGCCCCCAGTCACTGCTGGCTTAAGCAGGACAAAGCAGGCTGGAGACAAGCTTGGTAACCATTTCCATTACTTAGTCCTGAGGCTGCCTAGTTCCCCACCACCACAACCACAGACTGACAGAGCCTCCTGTCCTTAACAGTGCCAGCCTGTTATGACACAGCTGAGACGAAATTCTCCATCTCCTCACCTTTATGAAGCAATCCATGCCATTTCCTTGCTTCTTAAAGGAGCAAAAGCACACTTCATTTACTATCACATTAATACTGCAGCAATTGCTCCAGCCTACTAAGGAATAAGCATACTTAACTTCAAACCCACCACCTCCAAAACCATTGTCCAAAAGCCATCATCTCTCATCCTATTGTCTTCTCTTGATGAGACAGAGAAGCCATCACCACAGCCCTTACCTCTTCTCTTTGCCCAAAACAACATTCACTACCAATTAGTCAGCTGATTAAGGCAGATGACATCAGAAAACAGCCTCCCCCTAGCAACATATAGCAGTGTCAACACTTTCTGCTTTTCCTGGACAAACAGAGACGCACATGTACCCCAAACAGAGCACCAGAAACTTACTGTAATCCCTTGACAGCTGAAAGCAGATTGCAAATTGATCTGACAAAACTCCCTCCTTTAGCAGTAGTACAGGCTCTGCTCTCTGCAATAGCTAACCAACAGTCCCGTGTCTGTCTCCATGTTATGTGCATTACACACACGCACACCCCTCAGCACTCGTTTGGCACATGGTCCAGAAAATGTCAGCATTGTAATGGGTAAGCTGCTATGGCAGCCAGAGTAGACCAGTCACTTAAAGGAGCTTTTTGTTGCAGTAATGAGAAGGTTGAAAAACCATTTGCTAGAATTCATCTCCCTGGGGCCTCAGCATCTCACCGTCTGCAGGAATTAGCAGCTTGCCATTTGCTATGTGCAAGCAACACTTCCTTCTTTCTTTCTTTCTTCTGGCCACAGCCATGACAATTTGTGAAGAGGGTATGTGTAGGTGTGCAAGGATTTGGACTTAGGTCTCCTCCAGCTTGGTCTCTGCAGGGTTCTCTTCACACAGGCCAAGGAGCACACTGCCTGCAGCACTGAGAGTCTGAAGAACAGGCAAACCTCTAGAAGAGGAATAAGGTAAGGAGTCCCCCTTACAGAATTAAGTGCAAATGGAATGATCAGTCTCAAATTAAAGCAGGGGGGTTTCTTAAAATTCAGTTCTGCTAAGAAATAAGGGCAGAAAAAAGTAAAAAGAAACATCCTCTCTCACCCCCCTGCAATTCTGGCTCAGCAGTGAATTTTTCCATACAAGAGCAGCTAATCAAACAAACCTCAAGTCTGCATCAAAAGATCGTGCAGCACAGCATCTCCCATGCAGACAAACCAGGATCAGATCCTCCATCTCCTAGTCTCTCCATAGACAAGGGTATTTTCAGTGACAGGAACCATCATGCCAACCAATGCAGCCAAGCACAGAGCTGAAAGTTTACTCAGGCACAGAAAAGTAGCTTGAGCTGAGAGGGGAACTCTCCTGGAGTCTGATGCTGGGACCAGACCACTAAGCTACAGCCCATCATGTGTCCTCTTCTGCGTCAACCAGTTCCTGTCCCCTTGTCCAGCTGCAGTGCAGAAGCAGAGGGAGAAAGGAAACAAACCCATTCTGTCTTCCTGAGAGATCAGAAAAAGCTCAAGAGCAAAGGACTTTCACAGAGGAGTACTGGAGAGGCAGGGGAAGTGCAGGGAGAGGCAGTAAAACAAGGGGAGAAGGGGATGGGGAAGAAAGGGAGTAAGGTTATTCTATTTTAGCATGATTTCCTAAGGAAATGAGGCTTATAGCAATCGTTTAGCTCGTTTCCCTACCCCCCAACAGTAATACTTGAACCAATCGGCCAATTTCATTCAAATGTGAGAAGGAGGCAGATAGGAAATTTCTATATGACTTGTGAAAACAAGGAACTGCATAGAAGAGCACCCTGCTGAGGGCAGAGTTGCTAAGCAGAAAGCTATGGGCCCCAACGTCTGGAGCCAGCAGGAGGAGAATTAGGAGACACAGAAGGCAAATCTGGAACAAATCTCATTTCCTTTGCTAACCTGCTCAGGGACAACTCACTTCATGCTAGCTCTAGAAAGGGCCAGGAGAAAATGAAGTGGATCCAGAGCTACCAGCTCTTCCTGCAGAGTTCATGGTGGAGAGGCACCCACTGTAGCTTCTGTTTTCAAGCACAGTCAGCCCTCGCCCAGGAAGGCAGTGGCTGACCCATCAGTGAGGGCCCCTCACTCTGCTCCTTAGAAAGGCGGCAGGAAGGAAAAAACAGAGCGCAGGCAGGTAGGATACCATTTTTAAAAGCTGCACAGACACCTATGCCCAGCACATCTTCCTAGCAGAAATGAGGTAGGCAGACAGTAAATTATGGCTTGTCACTCTGTTAAGAGGGAAAAGCAGATATAAAACAAACAGCAATTGGAGATAAAGTGGGTCAGTCCCAGGCAGAAAATGAGGGATAAAGTCCAGCTAAATGAGGACCAAGCATTAGTTAAGGGACCTTAGTGCACTAGGAATGCTGCCCTGCCTGGTCCATGCAGTGTCAGGGAATGAGCTGGTCCACTGATGATTGCCAGCTGTGTCCTCTTTCGTTGCTCAGGGGGCACGGAGCTGCTGAAAAACCCTGCTAAATGGAAAGGATCTTGTCCTGGCCAGGCTTTGAAGAACAATATTCAATGCTGAGCCCATTCTTCCCCCAGGGGACCTCCAGCATCCAGGTTTCTTTCCTGAAAATTCTGATCTCAGACATGTTTTCAAAGGGCAGACAGGCAATAAACAGGCTTCCAGGACACTCCCAGCCTCTTCCAGTTCACTGCTGAAACTGGAGTTGATCCAAAATAACACAGAATAAAACCCATGGTAAAACATACATGCACAGTGAGGGAAATCCCCCATCTCCTCAACAATATTCTTGGCCTCTTAAGAGTCCCAAAGTGAAACAAGGGAAGAAGACAGAGACAGGATCTTGTTCCTCTCTGACCTGGAAGTTCTCTGTCCTTGAATGGATCATCAATCTCTGTGCTCTTCGATCTGGCATCGCTTTCACAGACTGGGGTCTCATAGCTGAAAAAGGAGAACAGCAGATGCTAAACTATGTGATATAGCTTTAGTGTCATCAGATGGTTGCTAAGGGGTTGTCTTATTTGCTTACTGCAGGGGAAACCAATAAACCTGCAGAAGAAATATTATTCTCAAGCATCTGTTTGTTTATGGAAAGTCAGCAACTGCAGCAGAAGTAGAGAGAGAAGGGAGAGCATACCCTGAAGTTCAGTATCAGCTACCCAACCCAAACAGCACGAGGCCCTCTTCCAACTCTTGTGGGCACAGGCTGAGCTTTTTTTCAAAACTGTCCATGCTCTGCAGAATCACTCTATCTAGCAGAGTTTTGGTCACAACTCCTACTAGCCTGTTTTTATAACTTGCCAGACCCACGATTTGTTTCCAAACCCCAAATAAGAAAAGATTCCCCAGGCAGTTTTAAGATGCAGAGTAACTTAAAAAAACCCCTGTCACTGGCTTAAAAATCTATCAATGCGCAACGAAGCAGTCTTCTAAACCTGTACTGGTCAGGATCCAAGTGGCTGCAGCATGGAAGTATAAAGCAGAGGATAATGCAACAAAGCCACTTGTCATTTCACTGCTTATGCCTCTGATCTGTAGTCCCGAGCAAAGCCCTCATCCCTGCTACTACCCAAAAGCTACAAGCCAGAGGAAAAAAAAAAGGCTGCTTTGCATGAAAACACAGAGGAAAGTAAGGGCAGTAGTTACTATGCACCAGCTCCTACAGAGAGGGAGCTGCATTCGGTGGGGACCACCACATATGGCATTGCTAGCTCTAAGGAAGGTAATACAGAGCTGACTGCTCTAGAAGTAGGAACTTACCTGATATAGCAACAGTGTTTTTTTATATCTTATCTCACCAGGCCTATAGCTCTTACCGAGTGGAAGTACCAGGCAGGGGGCGTCCCGTGTCCACCAGGACACACCAGCAGTACCCAGTTGACTGGTGGCATTGCACTGGTTTGTAGAGCCCTCCTGGAGCACACTCAGGGATGACGATACCCTCGCGGGGGTTCTGCCTGGCCTCCTCCAGAGCGCTCTGCCTTTCCTGGTCGCAGGAGTGAACTTTCTCTGGAAGATGGGAGGGAGGTTGGAAGGGGTGGAGAAAAAAAAGCCAAATCAAGATCACCACTCTGCAGAATATGGGTATCCTTCACATCAGGAGACCTCTGTTTCCTTCTCAGCACACACTAGTAGTGCGCATGTCCCTGCTTCTGGGGATGTAGACTTCTGGGTCAAGAGCTTCTCCTACATTTAGCTGTGACACAAGATTATGGATTATAGATACTGATGGCCAAGTGCCCAATAAGCCAGGAACAGCGGAAAAATTGTGCCCATTCACCTGGGTTTTGGAACAGAGCTATCAGATAACAATAATTTACTATTACTGCAGTCATAGGGTAAGCATTTCCCAGACGATGTTTTTGCATACTGAGATCCTAAATTGTGACTTGTATTTTCCAGTTAAATGAAGGAGGTAAACACCCTGCCCTGCCCCACCGTCTCTTTCTCCAGACTGGAACGCACTCTTCCGTCTCAATAGCATCTCTCCAACATGATCCCAAGAGGAGCAGAAGGTTATGTTTTAACACTGCCTTATCCAGTGCAGAGAGCACCTGCACGCACCTCAGCGGGGAACGCAATGGGATAACCCATTCTACCCACGCTGCCATCACCTCGCCAGCACATTCCACTGTTGTCTTCATCTGGAAAACAGAGGGCACCCAACATTGCTTCCTACTGAGGGGTAGGTAGGACCCTGTTCCTTAATAGCTCATTACACAGGAAAGGTTATTTCCAAAGACATCATCAACCAGAGAACAGAGTACACAGATGGCACACACCAAAGAACAGAAAGAAGCTCAGAAGTGGCTTCTGCAGCTAGCCTGGCACCTCTGGCCCTAACGCTGCCTCTTCGACCACTGCCTGCAGAAGAGTGACGGATGCATGGAGACGTGCCAGGCTGCTGCCTCTTGTATGGACCAGCCATTAAAGGGGGAAGAGATACACAGAGTACCCATGGGATGTTAAGACCTATTTGGCTCAACAGCCAGAAGTTCTCAATTACAAGTCTTCAAACATTCTGGCCCTTTGAGGAGTAGGAAAATCATTTAAATTTTGGAAACCACTGAAGGTATCACAGAGAGAAAAAGAGCATGCATGTAGGACAGAAAGCAGCCAAGGAAGCTGATCACAGGATTTAAAACATGTCTAAGTCTAGGGTAAAAAAAAGACAACAATACAACTCCTAACTTTTATCCTTAGGAGAGTGACAAAAACCAGAAGCAGGAACAGTTGTTCTCTCCTTCTCTAGCTTTCCTCTCCCCTGTAGTTCTGTTTTTTCTTTTATTTTTATAAATAAGCCACAACATCTGAAATTCCTTGCCACAGCCAAGAATCCCCTCAAGCTTTCAATACATAAAATGCTACAGCACTGACAGGCCATGACACCACAGGTTCATCCCAAACCTGCAGATGTTTGCACGGTCAGCCAGCAGACATGGCACGACCTCAGCATCCTGCCCCTGGGACAGGCTTGGCACACAACTAACACAAGCTCACTGTTTCCATGTATTTTGCCTCCCTGCCTGTATCCCATCAGTTACATCTTATATTTTGGTTAAATAATTCTGGTGCAGAGAGTAATTTTTGTTCTGTATTTGGGGAACAGAAGGGGTGCTCATCACAACTAAAATTCCTCAGCTTGGTAGCAGCAGGTACAACACAAAAAACTCCAGCAGGTCTGCACAGCGTCACCCGAGGACAGCATGCTTTGGGTACCAGAAGCACTTTTACTGGTTTCTAATCGAACTGCAGCGGCTAAAGAGTCTCAGAGACCCAGAATGGCCTCCCTCTCCTCAGCATTTCAGATGACTGTCGAGGCTGGGAGCATGAAGGGCACCCGAACTTTGCCACACACAAATCCACACAACTGACACACAGAATAAAAACTTTTAAGTGTCGGCAAGTCTGACTCAAGCAGAACGAAACTCGATCGGGAAGGAGCAGGAGGGGATAAAGTCAACAAAAACTGAAAGGGAGCTCAAGCCTCAGCTGATATTTAAGCTGACTTCACTTTGCTGACAGATTTCACGTCTGAAAAAAAGGCCCCGTGACTGTTCCCAAGCTGTACGTGGACAGAGAAGTCATTGAGCGAGAGGCCTGCAGGCTCCTTAACAAACCACTTACATCACGAGGGGCCCCTGCTTGCCCACCGCCTGCCGACAGCAGTTCACACCTTGGCCCTCAGGTGAGGACGATCATTCATGCGGCTTGGGGAAGCAAAAACAGGGGCAGAATTCCCTCTCATCATTTTATATAATAAGCAAAAGAAAAAAAAAAGAACTTCTGCTAAAGAGAACTACATTCCAGGAATTTTTCTATCTAAATCCCCCAAGCTTCCTGAGTGCACAAAGTCAAACTAAGATCTCTCAAGTCCTTTGAGTCTTGCAAAACTAGCACTAAAAATGTCTCTGAAAAAAATAAAGTGGGGTTTTTTTGTGTGTCAGGACAAAAAAATATGCCACTTTTATTGAAATCAAGAGGGAAAAAAAAGAAAGAATAAATGTCTTCTAATGAGTTAGTATCTTGCTTCACATAGGTTTGCAGTTAGGTATGCAAATTACACAGAATACGTGTACAAACTTACACACGCGTTTGTACCATACTGTAAAAAGTGGCAAAAAACACTCTGCACATATTAACAGATACTTGTGGGAACTGCATTGTCATGGTATTTACTACCAGAATACAGAACTAATTGGTACTAACTCCTGTTTGAAGGGCGTTTAAAGGCTGAGTGAAACAAGTCTCACAGGTCTTGTTCAGTTGACATCAAATAGGTGTAATGATGCAAAATCCCCCATCGCCACCAGTACTCAGTGCCCTGTCATTAGCAATGATAGCAGTACAACCGAAATAGCAGGGAGATCAGATTTTTCTCATTTCTAGCACACATCTAGAAGTAGCTACTATGAAAGTCCCATCTATCCATTACGTCCTGAAGAATGTAAAACAGACATACTGGGGCAAACCAAAGTCCCAACTCGTCTCTGTTTCACCTCCAGCTGTGGCCAAAAGCAGACACTTAGAGGAGAACGGAGGAAAAGGACAAGCATGTGCTTCTCTCCCCCCATGTATTTCATGTCTCAGCCAGTTGTGGATCAGAAACTTGCAGAGACAGACACAGAGTTTGTATTTAGTGAGTAGTAATAGCTTCTCCCTTCCACCAGTTTGCCATGTCTCCCCTCATAAACTTTTATTGACTATGACATCCCACAGCTAGTTCTGTGGTTTGACTACATGTCATGTGTGAAACACGGCACATCCTTTGGTTTGGTCTAAACCTGACTCCAACTAGTTTTGTGTGCTGACCCTAGTTCTTCTGGAGGATAGAACAACAAACAGTTTGCAGTCGTTCCCTCCCTGCCTCTCACCACTTTACAGATTCCCACTTCATCTCTTTTACTTGTTGAAGAATCCCAGCTGACCCAGTTGTTCCTTCTCTGAACCCTTTCCAGATCTACCATACCTTCCCTGAGCTAGAGGGGATCAGAATAACAAACACATTAACACCAAATGGCAGCTATGACAACAGCCCTGTGGAAAGTTCCTTCAGTGACATCTGTCTACCAAGCAGAAGAAACTATTAACTAGCACTAGCCCCCGGAGAGGCTCTTTCCTCCAAGCTACCACTCTAACAGCACTTAATTCCCTTAAAAAATAAACATGAATATTAACAGTTGGGGTGTATTTCAACAGCCAGCAGAATCAGCTGGGAAATCCATACCATCAGCTTCTCTAGTATGGGACTTGGCATGAACTGCGTACACTGTCACCCTGAAAGACAGTCTCATGGGTAATGAAGGGACCATCAAGTGCTATCCCAGCTCCAGGATACTGAAGTCAGCCTGTTCCAGTCAGACTGCTTACTGGAAACTTTGCTGTTGTTGCCAAAGCCAGGTTTATAGAGGATAGTGAAAGCCTATGGCCAAGCTAGAAGGTTTAATGCCAGCTATGAAATTAAGCTGTCATCTTAGAAAGAAGTATATATTTATTATACATGCAGGGTACTTAAAAGCCTATTCCCTGTTTGAGTTAATGGGGGTTGCAGGCACAGAAAGATTGAAAAAAGTTTTCCTTCTTTCCCCTATATTAAACATTTAGAGAGAGAACATTTAAGACAGCAAGTCAGTGGGACACAAACAGCCTTCCCAGGACCAACAATAATATTACATATGCCCCCCTTTTTTTCTTAAAGGGACTGTCATATTCCCCTGTTTTCTGCCATCTCTGCTTTGACTTAAGACAACCATCAGCAAAGACACTGAATAACACTCGCCAACTTGCTGTTGCTGGGGAGTGAAACCTTTGGGAGACAGCAAATCTAGATTACAACAAATCCAGTGACAGCAAAAAAAAAAAAAAAAAGCAGGGAATGCATGCTCACACAATGAAGAGAATCACTGGCAGAAATACCCATTTTACCTTAACTGCTCAGCTCTGAAATGCTAACTGTTTGTTCCTTCTTACTCTTGACTGCTTCTTAACACCCCTTAAAACATTTTTTAAAGTAGTGTCTCTGAAGCCATGAGCTATTGCAGGAAAACAGGGCTTGGACATCTGCAGTTGTACTTTATTTATGCAACAATTTTCCCCTAGTAATGGCTTTCTGAGAAATACACGGTCAGATTCATAAAAAGGTCTCTCATTCCTGGTCCCTTAAGTACACACATTCAAACATACATCTAGTGCCTGCACAATAAAAATAAAAATGATGGATGAGGTAAGGGACTCATCTGACTAATAAACTAGATGGTTATTAAAGAGATAGGGTGTTTGTTTACCTTACAAAGCTGAGAAGAGAGTGTGTCTAGCAGCATCTAATCAAAGGCTTGTGCTTCACAGTTCTCGTGCTCCTCTTGCAGGGCTAGATGCAGCCAACGCGCTGCTCTGGGGACCAGGCAGCCTCCCCCAGCTGCTCCCCGACACGTAACAGCTCCCATTGCTATCAGAGCCAAAGGACCAAGGGTCAATCACCGGAGCTGGAGGATGCTGTGGATGATTAGGGA